AAAAAAGAATTTTTAAATTCGGCACAACTTAACTCTGCCGACTAAATGCACGTAAATACCCAATGTGCAATGTGAAATTCTTATTTTTCCAGTTGTTATAATTACACAAATGACTTCTAAATTCATCGATAACCTTTTTGTAAATATTTTGAGTTTTAAATAATTTTTCTTGTTGTCCTTAGGTGATGCTCCAATTTGATTCTGATGTTGGCTTTGGATGGCTGAATGGAAAGAACTTAACGAATCGCAATGGTTGAGATTATGCAGATTCCAATTCATCATTGAAGCTTTATCAGGTAAGGACTTCCAAGAAAAAACGAAATCTTTCATTGAAGTTATCGATGAATTTGATTTCATTTCGTGTAATTTTTTCGTTTTTTGGTTCTTGCAAGTAATTAAGATGCAGAAAGCTGTATCTATCTATCTCATTTAAATCCATATTAACACTATTGTCTCTGAATATTTTCAATCCCACCAGAAATCACTTCGCGTTACTGATTTTATTCCACAAGCATAAATTGTAACATTTTTTAAAGTTTTTCCAAAGTTTTTCAATTTGAACAATAAAAAGAGGATGAAACAGTTTAAAACAAAATGGAAGAAATTAAGAATCGGTAGAAATACTTTTAAGTAAACAATAATCTTTATTATGTTTTGCGTTTCATGGGTGGTGAAATATACTCAAATATATTTTCATGTATCTCGATTTCTTTGTCAACTACAATTCCATCAACGTCATAATAATTTTCTGGTAGTGAAACATCTTCAAGAATTTCAAACTTCGTTCCAGAAAACTCGAGTGAATTTCCGTTGTCGATGGATAGTAAATTGTTTAAAGAGTCTTCATTTTTGTTTTCTGTATCATCAACTGTATTAAAAGGCAAATCGATGAATGATAATTTCGTATCTTGGGTGTTCTCACGTAGGGCTTTACAGACATTAGCGTCGAATTTTGTCACTGGTAGGTCCAAGTGTTGCAATTTCATATTCTTCAGAAACTTTACAATGTCAAAATATTTACCAATTTTTTTTATTTTCATTGTGTCTACTTTCGGATTTTTAGCTGCAAATTATGCAGATTCAAATTCATCATTGAAGCTTTATCAGGTAAGGACTTCCAAGAAAAAACGAAATCTTTCATTGAAGTTATCGATGAATTTGATTTCATTTTGTGTAATTTTCCCTTAAAGTCTCATTTCTTAAGATTTATAAGAAGATTTTCGTATGAATTTATTTTAAACCTGAATTCACTCGCTTTTTGAATTATTTAAAAAGTCTCTTTAAAAGAAAATTCTCGCTTTCTTTCGTCAGCTTGTTCTTGATTTTTTCCTCAATCTTCTGAGCTATCGCTGTCGTTCTATTATCTGTCTCTTAAGTAATGTCCCTTTTTCTGGCAACAGTAGCATGTGACATCATCACCGCTTCGTCCACGACTGGATCCTCCAAACTTTTTGCCTCGTTGTCGAGTTCGTGCTCTTCAACAACTTCTACCTCATCTTTTTCTTGTGTTACTTTTTCCTCTCAATTTTTTAACGTCACTTTCATGCACCAGATCTTCGTCTTCAACATTCATTTGTCTATCAAGCTGGGTTGCCATTCATGACTTCCCAATGGCCATTGCCAGTCTTCTTAATCTTCATTACGAAATTATTCTTTGGAGTGTCGTTGGTTACATGTTTTGGAACATTCGCGTTAGTCCTTCCTGCTGGTTTGTTCAAGAATTTCTTGGTGTCCATTTAACCATTGAACGATCCAAAAGTGTCAATCTTTGTCTTTCAACAGCTAGTTTGGATGATTTTCCATGTTTTGGTTCTCTTCACTAGCATTCCGTATTGGGGAATTATAAGTGGAGATGGAAATGATATTATTAGAAGGGATTCCATTAGGCTTTTCAAATGCATGGTCAGGTAATTTAGTATTGTTAATCGGTGGTGAAATCGCTTCTTTCGTTGCTATTCCTTTAGANTATTGTACAAATTGTGAAACCCCCGCGATACCTCGTCTTCGTTCGTGTCTGCGACTGTGATAAAAAATAAATAATCTAAAGCTGATAAAAACAATGATAAAGAAACAAGATCGAGATTCGACGAAATTCTCTCGCTTTAAAGAAATGTGAAGAATAAGAAAATCATTTTAAATAAAGTTGTTAGAAATTACAGAAAATTTTCTTATTTTTCCAGTTGTTAATATTACACAAATGATCTCTAAATTCATCGATAACCTTTTTGTAAAGATTTTGAGTTTTAAATAATTTTTCTTGTTGTCCTTAGGTGATGCTCCAAATTGGTTCTGATGATGCTTTGGATGGTTGAATGGAAAGACGTTAACGAATCGCAATGTTTGAGATTATGCAGATTCAAATTCATCATTGAAGATTTATCAGGTAAGGACTTCCAAGAAAAAACGAAATCTTTCATTGAAGTTATCGATGAATTTGATTTCATTTTGTGTAATTTTCCCTTAAAGTCTCATTTCTTAAGATTTATAAGAAGATTTTCGTATGAATATATTTTAAGTCTGAATTCACTCGCTTTTTGAATTATTTAAAATTTCTCTTGAAAAGAAAATTCTCGCTTTCTTTCGTCAGCTTGTTCTTGATTTTTTCCTCAATCTTCTGAGCTATCGCTGTCGTTCTATTATCTGTCTCTTAAGTAATGTCCCTTTTTCTGGCAACAGTAGCATGTGACATCATCACCGCTTCGTCCCCGACTGGACCCTCCAAACTTTTTGCCTCGTTGTCGAGTTCGTGCTCTTCAACAACTTCTCCCTCATCTTTCCCTTGTGTTACTTTTTCCTCTCCATTTTTTAACGTCACTTTCATGCACCAGATCTTTCCAATGGCCATTGCCAGTCTTCTTAATCTTCATAACGAGATTACTCTTTGGAGTGTCGTTGGTTGCATGTTTTGGAACATTCGCGTTAATCCTTCCTGCTGGTTCGTTCAAGAATTTCTTGGTGTAAGTGAAGACATTGAACGATCCAAAGTTGTCAATCTTTTGTTCTTCAACAACTGGTTTAAGAGATTTTCCAGATGTTTTGGTTCTCTTCACTAGCATTCCATATTGAGCTAACATGACTGAACTTTGCATAACTAGGACAACTTTGTGTGCTTTAAAATTTCTGTGTCAGTCCAAGCAACTTTGGGTAAAACCCATTTATGAACTTTGAATATTTGGGTGTCAGTGATTGACTTTTTGAATATTGGTAATGAAAATTCATTATTATTTCTCAGACTTCTTTCATGATCGTTAAATCTTCTTACTAATCTGTTTGCCAAATATTCTGGTAATAAACCCCTTAATAATTTATTAAAAAAATTTATTGTATTTGAAAGAATTCTCTGCTTTACTGATAGCAACTGCAACTCTTCTAGCATCGTCTTCGTTCTTGTTTCATAATTTGCCTTCAAACATATTCTCATAAATTTGTTTTGCGTCTTTTGTAGTTCAGCGATACATGAATCGTCAAGCGTATAGAGGATGGTTGAGCAGTAATCTATATGTGGCATAACTAACGCTTTAAAATATGTGAGCTTGCTCTCAGCTGTCATTTTATTTTTTATTCTTCTTAATAGACCAAGTTTTTTGTTCATCTTTTTCGAGACATAATCGAATAAAACCTTTAAACCAAATCGCTTCGACATCTTTGTCACTTTTTTCATCCAAATGTTCTCCATTAATTCTTTGAATGATCGTGTTTGGCTTCGTTATTGAAGATGATCTAATGGAGCACGTGTAATATTCTTTTTCAAAAAAAAAGAAATCATGAGTTCCAAATGTACAGTCTAACTTCATTATTAAAAAGAGAAAACCAAAGTGAATTGTTCAGCGTTTAAAATAAGACTTTGTTTAATCTTTAAGTAAAGTAATTTACTGTTGCGTCGAATAACCAAATCCCTTCGATTTCTTTATCATTTTTTCTATTTATATTTCCATTAATTTTTTTGAATTTGGCTATTGAAGATGAATAAATAAGATTTTTCTAATTCACATTGCATGTAGGAGAAGAGACCAGTCGCATACAGAGCAAAACTGTCTTTAATTAAATGTTCTAATTCCATAAATATTTCCTCCTCAATTTCTTCCCATTCCATTTCTTCATAATCCGTTTCCTCAATTCCTTCTATCTTCAGATTTTACATTCGAATTAACATCTCCTCATAGTTCCTTTCTTCCATATCTTCCATTTTCAAATTATCCATTCCAGTTTCTAGGATCTTTTCCGATATCATCCCTTGAGAAGTTAACAATTTCTTCTTTGTGTATAACTAAAAATGTAATGCAAATTGCTTTGATGATTTTCATCTGCGATGAATGTTCCACATTTTTATTTTCAAGCTGATTTAAAAGCATCATGCTTTTATTATAGTCTTTATCTAGGCATCAATTGAAAAGGGACAATCATTATTGTTGGATCCTCGTGATCAAGTTAAATTGTCGTGAAAAAAGTTGATAAAGTAAAGATTGTTAATTGTAATTGTAATTGTAATATTTTTTTAAAGGAAATGAGTTCAAGTGATGTAGATTGCGTCAAGTTTAAAACTGTACTTATCCAATTTAATCAAATTTTTATATCGGTGAACTGAAGTTGAAGTATCTGAACGGAACAGAGCATTCCTAGGAAAAAACCAGGTTGAAAATTGTTTTTCATTGTGATCTGTTCATGACGTCTGAAAGCATTTGACATCGGAAAATTTTTCTTGAAAATTCTCAAAACTTGCTTTATGGATACGCAGCGATTTCATATCTTGGGTGTTCTCACGTAGGGCTTTACAGACATTAGCGTCGACTTTGGTCACTGGTAGGTCGAAGTGTTGCAATTTCATATTCTTCAGAAACTTTACAATGTCGAAATATTTGCCAATTTTTTTAATGTTCATTGTGTCTACTTTCGGATTTCTAACTGCAAATTTTTGACATTGTGAATCGTTACACGACTTATTAAAATAACAGAAATGACTTCTAAATTCATCGATAACCTTTTTGTAAAGATTTTGAGTTTTAAATAATTTTTCTTGTTGTCCTTAGGTGATGGTCTAATTTGGTTCTGATGTTGGCTTTGGATGGCTGAATGGAAAGACGTTAACGAATAGAAATGGTTGAGATTATGCAGATTCAAATTCATCATTGACAATTCATCAGGTAAGGACTTCCAAGAAAAAACGAAATCTTTCATTAAAGTTATCGATGAATTTGATTTCATTTCGTGTAATTTTTTCTTTTTTTGGTTCTTGCAAGTAATTCTTTAATAAGTAGCATCAATGTGACACAATTAAAAATTTACAAGCTGTAATAATTGTGATAAATTACAGATCGGTGATTTCTGTTCAAAAAATAGTTTTAAGAATAGCTGAAGTAATAAATAAAACTGGCTATCACTTTTTACAATTTAACTTTTCCTAATTTCTTCTTAATTACAATATCTTACAATATTGTTTAAAGTTATAGTAAAATTGCTGTTTAACTTCAAAACTTTTCTCAATTTCATTTTGTTACATTGATAAAACGAAATAGATACGACTTACATGTTTTAGATTCAGCTGCTTTTGCTCTAATTAAAGAAATGATTGAAATATAATGTTTACAAAAAAAATCTGGGATATATTTTCATTTGTATTCTTCAATTCGATAAGAATTTCTATAGTGAAGGAACATAAGTCGTGATTTTTTTGCTTTCGTCAAATACCATCTCCAATGTATTAATCAAACTGCGATACTGAATTATAGAAATAATACAAAAGAATCATTAAATTTACAACTGAAGTAAATAGATGATTAACGAATATTTCTTATATTAAATGAGTTTTCGACTGAAGAATTTTTCAAAAGACGACCTTATTGCTAATCAAATTTATATTTTTTTTATTACGTATGAGCTTAAGTATGAGCTTAATGACAACTTATAATAGATTTTTAAAATTGAAGTGAATTCCATTCAAATGACCCTTTTTATTTCATTAAGATTTGTGAATCAGTAGGATGCCTACAAAAGTTCATAAAAGTTCATTTGAAAAGTGGGTCTGTCGGCATTGTAAATTTATTTTGCATATGACGATTGTAAAGTACATTTTGAATTATTCTAACTTTTCATTCTTTGACATATTTTTGAGGTTATTTCTTATTTGAATCACAAATGGATGATTTTCTGCGAACATCTCCTGAATCGTCTATTAAAATATAACTCATTGAGACAGATAATCTACTGGACCGCTTGAAAATTATCTTAAATCAATTCAAAGAAATTTCACAAGAATCATATGCAAACAGTAACAAGGAACAAAAACGAAACTCAATGGAAGATGAGTTTGATAGTTCACTTAGTTTGGTAAAATAATTTCAAATAAATTTTCACATCTGCTAATTATGAATATATTTCTAGCTTATCTGGAGGAGCAGAAGCTTCAAAATGCGTATGATTGTTTAATTCATACAAGCACATATTTACTTCAAGAGAACAATGATTTAAAATATGGAAAAAAAACCACTAGATACATCATTTCTTTAAAACTTCCATTTTCTTACTCATTTTGAAAAATCTATTTAAAATTACACAAATGATCTCTAAATTCATCGATAACCTTTTTGCAAAGATTTTGAGTTTTAAATAATTTTTCTTGTTGTCCTTAGGTGATGCTCCTTGGTTCTGATGTTGGCTGCAGAGGATTTGGATAACTGAATGGAAGCATTGCAATTCATGCATTCTGATGTAAGTATCTTGATCTCGCTTCATGTAACTATCAATTATCGTTCCATTTATTTAACATGTTGCATCGACAATATTTCATAATTGCACCTTCGCGTTCTTTCATAAACCTTAAACTTGACTTTATTTACCTTTTGTTGGTTCCAAATCTTGAGACCTTAATTATGAGCAAAAGAACATTCGATAGCTTCAAGTTTGTTTCCCAATTCAAAACATTTAAAATTCCAAAACTGGAAACAATTTTTGTTGGTGATTTGCATCTCTCTGTGTCTTGGGCAACTTTCAAGCTTAACAATCCAAATGTGAAGAAAATAGAAATTAATAATTACGAAGATTGTGACGAAATTTATTATATTGAAAGTGATGAAGAAAGTGCAAATTTTGATTCTCATTAATTACTAATCTGAAACAATTCTCATTTAGATAATTTCGACAAAGACTGAAAAGAATAAAAAAAATCTCAAACAATTAAAATTTGCTAAACGTAAAATTATTTTAAAAAATAAATTTTTATTATTTTTATTGACCTTTTTTGATTTCGTGACTAAGAATTTATTTTGTTTATAATACTCAAAATGATTCGTTGCAAAAGTTTCTCGTCAATTTCATCTTCCAAGTTCTCATTAGCAAAGTTAACAATTTCGTTCACCATTTCATCGACATTTACATTTCTTGCGTGGATTGCTTTAAGTTTCGATAATCTTTCAATAATTTCTGTTGTACATTCGGGACTTGAAATGTCATCAATGCGCATTGTGATGATCATTTGTTGGAAAATGTTTGTGAGAATAAATGGAAGATAAGAATCGGAAGCAATTGCTGATTGACTTGCTGTTTCAATCGTGCTGTTGATAATCGCTTTCATCACTTCACTTTGACTTAAATTGTTTGGTTCATTGAAATTCCCAACGATTTTTGCTACAAGTTTTGCAATATTTTCCGGTGAAACGTGAACGGAATTTGGTATAAAATTACAGAAATTTTTGATAATTTCAGGCAAGGTTTCATCTAATTCAACAGATGGAAAAGTCAAAGCGATATTTGTGAGATATTTTGACAAGTTCAATGAAACATTTTCAACTTCAACTTCTTCCAGTTGATCAGCTAAATTTTCTTCCACAAACTTCTTGACACTTTTCAGAATGTCATTTAAAGCTTCTTGATCGGGTGAAGTTGCTCGTGTTGAAGACAAAATTGATTCATCAGGATTAGAACAAATTGAATCTTCGAAGCGACTGTCACGACGTAATTGTGTGACGCTGTAAGTCAATGGATCGAACTTTTGACGAATATTAACAAATGATTTCGATTTCAAACTCAAAGCACGAATCTCTCGTTGCAACATTTCAATTTGTTCTTTCTGATGATTGCTGATCTCTTTAAGTTTACTCAAATCATTTTCATCTTCATGATATGACTGAACTTCCTTCTTACGCGCTTGATTCATTAAAATTCTATGCAAGAAATTCTTCTCTTCCTCAAGAACAGTCAAAATGTTGAGCTTTTCTGTTGCTTCCTGAATCACTCGATTTAAATTTTCTTCTTTATTCATTTTACTTTTCTTCAATTCATTAATCTTGTTCGAATAATGTCGTTTGATATCTTCAGAATTTGCACGCATCTCAACTTGCATATCAAACGCAAACTTTCTTAAAATCGTCTCTTCAACTTCATTCAAATCAACAATCCGACCAAACTTCTTCAGCATTGCTTGACTCGTCTCATCTTTCAGATCTGTGATTTGTTTCTCCATAAATTTAATGTCAGTTTTCATCTTCGCTAAGTGAATGACATTAATTCGGTGCTTTCTTTTAGCTTCAATTGTTTCAAGTGCAAGTTTTCCGACACGAGCATAAAGCTTACAGATTAATCTCACAGATTCTGATTGTTAAATAAAAGCGTGCTTTCAATATCAGCAAATTCCTTCTCGTTCTTGAAATATTGAAGTTGATCCATCTTCAGAACTATGACAGTGTCAACATCATTCAATTGTTGCTGTTTTCGTTGCCGAAGTTCCACGAGTTTCGTTCTATTTCGTTCGTAATCATCTTCAGCCTTCTTTTGTCGTTGTGTCGTCATATCAAGATCAGCTTGAATTGATTCAATTTCATTTTTTTTCGTGATAATTGCATCTTCAAGACTGTCACGTTCATGTCGAAGTTGAAAGACTAAATCGTAAAGATTTTGATCGCAGTTCTTTGGACATTTGTCTTCGCTGAGATTCTCTAAGCTTAAACTCACATCCAGTTGACTTCCTTTCAAAGATTCTGACTTTTCTGAGCCAGAACTTTTTCCTTCCACCCAACAATCATTGTCGCAATTTTCATGCAACTTTTTCTTATAAATTTTCTTAAAGAAAAACGCAAAACTATTGTCCAAACATTTCAAGCGAAACTTTTGATCAACTCTTTTCTTTGATTCTTTCAACTCTTCAAAATGTTGTTTAATCATTTCAATTTCACTTTGTGCTTGCATGATTCGATTCATTAAATATTTTCTTTCAGCATTTTTATTGTCGACAATTTCAATGAGAACATTTTCTGTCGTTTCAAAGTCTTTGAGTATCATCAGCTCATTGTTGAGTGTCAACAAGAAAAGTTCCTTAAACTTGGCTTTAACTTCAACGTCATATCTTTCATTTGACAATTCCTCAATCTCGTGGTCAAATTCAAAAACTTTTAATTTAATCTTTTCAATTATTTGTTGTTGTTCAAAGAAATGTCGACGACTTCTCAGATTTTTCATTTCATCTTCCCATGGCGATGATTTCTTGTCGATTGACTTTAAGCGTTCAAAATTATTTGACGTTAATTTCGATGAAATTGTCAAATTTTCAGAGTCACTTGGAGAATTTCTCAAAATTGTCATCAACTGCCTTTCAGCTTTCTCTCGTGAATTCATCAAATCAAAACGACTTCCAGTTGTACTTCCCAAATCCAATTTGTGATTTTTTGGTAATAAATATTTCTTCAAATCCAAATTTCTCTCGGGAAATTCACGATCAAAATCAAATGAAACAGAAAAGTGCGGTTTTACGCAATCTTTCACAGGCATTTCCATTTGAATTTCCTTCAATTTTCTCAACTTTCTTTCAATGAACTCGATCAGATTTTTTTTCTTGTTTCGTAGCTTGAATATTTTCTGATTATAATCATTGCGAATGTTGAAAATATCTTCGCGTGCTTGTAAAACTTCTTGAAGTTTCTTAACAATCGTCTCTCGTTCGTTTTCATTTGCTTCGAAATTCGGATCCGTCTTTAACTTGTAATTTCCGATTGTTTTTCGAGCTTCTTCAATAAACTTTTGATCCGCTGGATGATCTTGTTCTGGATTGGGACGTTCAGCATTTATAATTTGCCATTCTTTTTTCCTCGCAATTTCTCTTGACTTTCTTTGTCGATATTTGTTGAGCAATCGACGCATTTGACATTCGAGTTTCGTTTCAATATCCACGGCACTCAAACCAATCAGAAACGATTCAACAATTGGCGCAGTTGATTCCGATTCAACTGTTCGAATGCTTGTATCATTCAAATCCACCATCCTGTTGGTGAATTAAACATTTTTATATTAATTTTATGAATTTTAATCAACTCATTTTAAAAAAATTAATTTTATCATCAAACCTGTCTGAGAAACTTTCAACAAAATCCTCACAAACTCTTTTCGTAAGCATTTATTAAAGATTAAAGTTAATAAAGTTTGAATAAATATTCGCTTGTCATAAACTTACCGCTTATTCTTTGCTGCTTCTCTCAACTTCAGTTCAACTCCATCTCTCAAATGATAGAAATCTTTACCCAACTTCTTAATTCGAAATGAATGAACAGATTTGCGATTATTAATTCCAATCACTTGGATTGGAAAATCAATTGAATCGATGAAATATTCCAAGAGTTTCTTGCCAGCAAGTTTGACTTTCTCATAGTCGAATTCCTTCTTTCGTCTCACGACATCCATAAGAATGTCAAGTTTCTGTTGAAAATCGTTTGAGATTCGATCATCGAGATGAAGATCCTTCGTTGTTAGTTTTTGTGATGTCGGCATCAAAGAATTTCTGTTCAAAATTGTCAAATTGTTTAAATTTATTAACAACAATTAACAACACTCACGTCTGCATAATTTCATCAAATTCCACTCTCAACTCTTCAATCATCTTCAAAACTTTCATTTTGTTGTCATTTGAAACTTCTTGTCGTTTCTCATCATTTTCCTTTTCTTTCTTCTGTTCAAGTGTTAAAAAGTTTGGATCGTCAATATCGTCAACTGCTTTCAATAACTTAAAGAAATTAAAAGATTTTAAATAAGATTATTTGATATTTTCAAAGCTCTATAAAAACCTTTGGAACTGCAGTGGGAATTTTTGCCTTAAATTGTTTCACAGGCAAATTCCATTTGTAGGAAAATAAATTTCCATCTACGCCAATTGAAAATAAAAATTTCCTATCGTAACTGAACTTTAATGCTGGAATTCGTCCAAGGAAATTGTCGTGCATGCTCAAAAGCCAAAAGTCAGACAAATCTCTCCAATCATCTTTAATTAAGTTGATTCGAATCTTTCCATCGCCCATTCCAAATACCGTAAAATTGTCGACATGAATGTAGGAATGAATTTCGATATTTTCAGCTTCTGGGATTGGAACGCACATCATCAGGTTGCCTTTGATTGAATCATATTCATAAATGTAACCAGCATCGAAGCCAGAAAGAGACAACCAAAGAGTGTCGTTGCTCGTGTATTGAATCCATAAGATTGAGTTTGGTGGATCGGGAATGTGAAGAGGTTGAAAAGTTTCTTCGTCATCAGAGTCAGCAAGAAATTCTTCTTCATTTATTTCCATTAAAGGATCGTCTTTCTTCATCTTCTCCAACTCTTTAACTTTCTTTTCCCTTTTCTTCATCTTCTCCAATTCAATTTCTTTCATTCTTTTGTTGCGCAGAATTTGAGATTTCACTGATTTGAATTTAAAAGTTTTAACTGGAACTTGATCGAGATGATATGAAGTTGATGTCGAAGCATTTGAAGATTCAGGAAGATCAATTTGAGTGACTTCGCCATGTTTGCATCCCAAAATTATTGTCGAACCTTCATTTGGATTCCAATTAATGCATGTAACCGCTGATGGTGTTTTCATAAAGCCAACAGGCTCTAACGAAATAATCGGAGAGTCTTTCATAAGTTGATGAATAAAAATTGTCGAATCTTCCGATGCTGATACAAAAATGCTTCCTTTGGGATTAACGGCGACTTTTGTTATAGCTCGACTGTGACACTTTATAACTTGCACAAGTTGCATTCGATCATCTGCTTCAATATTGTAATCAAAAGCAATCACACGAACGACTCCATCATCAAATCCAAAAATCATGACAGCTCCAGTTGGATCCATAGAACTCGAAAGCCAAACAAAGTCACATCCTGCAGCTACAAATTGATGATGATAAATCATTTTATGCTTAATGTAGTCGTAGACATAAAGACGACCGTCTTTTCCTAATGTTGCTACGTGTTGTGACACTGAACTTGTACACATAGCAACAATCTCACCAGCATGACAATGAAACAATTGCTTTGGTGGGTTTGGAAGTGTTTCAGTCGACACTTCACATTTCCATATTCCACCTAAACCATCTTGAGCATAATATTCAGGCATTTCTGGTTCAATTTGAATTATTTTTAGTAACTCAGCATTGTAATCATTTTCACCAACTCTAAACTCGTGACTCGGTTCGATTTCCACAAAACGATCATCTTCAGGTGGATCTGCAAGTTCAACTGTTTCCCAGAACCAAATGCAAATGAAGCCATCAGTGCCAACTGTCATGATTTCTTCTGCGTTACGCATGAAAATTTGAGTTATTGGCCCTTTATGGCAAGGTTTTCGATTTTTCCTGCAAACTTCCAACTTTATTAAGCCAGCATCCCAGACGAGAATATTTCCCCATTCACATCCAGAAAGAATTTTCTCATCTGGCATAGGACAAATTCCATAAATGTCGCATATTTCTGTCTTTCCAAATCGTCCAATTAATCCTTGCAGCTTCAAACCGGTGAAAGTCGAAGCCATTTTCCAGAATTTTATGTGTCCAAGTCCGGAAGTTATTAACTGTTCGGAAATGTATGGCGAGAACATCAAATTGACCACGTCATTTGAAAAAGATTTCGCTCGTAATTTGATTTCCTTTCTTCTCCAATCCCAAATTGTAAGCATGTAATCAGGATCGCCACCTTGCGATGCAAGCAATTCACCGTTTGGAGTGTAGTCAAGAACTGAAAATTGTCGCTTTGCACCTTTTTCCAGCATCGAAATCAATTTCATTTCGGGAAATTTATAAATAAAAATTGTTGGGTTCTTTCCATTTTCTCCAATTGTTAAATGATTGAGATCCGGATTGGGATTCTTCACAATGAATCCAATGCCTTCACCCATAGCTGATCGTCTTGTCGTAACTTTCGATGTTGAAACATTGAAGAAATGAATCAAATTTCCTGATGCAAACACTAAAGCTTCTTTATCCATCAGCACTAAGTTGTACATTTTCTTACAGTCATAACCAAATGAGTGACTAGAGAATAATTGAATTAAACAGTAGAAAATGGTGAGAAAATTTAATAAGAAACTTACTCAAATGAAATAATATTTTCATCAATCAACGAAGTGGATTTGACTTGTGGCTTTGAAATAAATTCGTCCTCACAGTGTGTCGTTGTCTTTTCTTCATTCATTTTATTTTCGTAATGCACTTTAAATTGTTTTTCAATTAATATTTCTTCAACAAAGATTTTTCAATTCTCAATGAAAGATTGACGAAAAGTTTATTTTGATAATACCTAAATAAATGGTTTCTATGACTCGTATATGTGTGAAACTAGGAATGAATGTGAAAATAAACAGTTTCCTTGACGTCAACTAGTACTGAAATACTTTCAAATATTTTATCTTTTACATATATTTAATTGTGATAGATGCATTTATGCAATTTTTTTCTGCCATAGTTAGTACTTAAATATGAGATCTACCGAATAAGGTAGTAGAATGTTCTGTACTAAAAACTTTGGTAGATAAATTTATTTAGTACGATAAGATGAGAAGAAACTTTCTGAGAGAATTTCAACTCTCAGTTTAAATCTTGAAGTTGAACAATTGACATCGTCTTAAGATTAATTAATTTATATGCAGTGAATTGTGGTCATTTTAATTATGTTCATTTTAATTTCATATCGACAACGAAGCAAAAGTGAAAGTGTTTAGTTTTTATTAAGTTCTTTGTGAAGTGAAAGTGAGTGAAAAGTTTTCAAAATGGAGATTAAAAAACGTGCGGTGAAAATTCTTAGGTTGCTATGATATGAAGAAAATTCGGTTAACTAAACCATTTCAAACACTAATTCCTTCAAATTGGATACTTTGGAGATTGAAAGCTTCAAGTGAAAATAGGTAAGTTGTAATTAGGAAAGTTTTCGATAGCCGAAAGAATTTTAATCTTTTTGGTTATGAATTTCAGGTTACTGCGATGACAATGCATAAATTCAATTCCTTTCCTACAATTGAAACCATGTGCTGGTGTGAAATCACATCATCTTCTGTGATTGTTCAATAGGAGTTTGAAGCTTTTAAATGAAGCTGAATTCAATTTTCCACAGGTAAGGACTTTCAAGAAAAAACAAAATTTTTCATCAAAGTTATCGATGAATTTGATTTCATTTCGTGTAATTGTTCGTAACTTCCATTCTGGAAGATTCAGAAGCAAACAGGTGAAATAATTATTGCTCATCCTAAAACGACAATACAATACAATACCACGAGGGATTTCATTTTAGTTTTTTTACTGAAACTTGAAGTGAGGCTTTTTGTTTCAAAATGGGTGGCTTTATACTGAAGCACACCAAAAGTAAAAGAAGCTGTCTTTATGACACTGTCACTATGTTTTTCAGCTTTGTTAATTGTTTTTCGCGATTTAAAAATTTAATTTCTATATTTCACCCTTTCGAATACCGAGGGTAATCCTTTTATGTTATTAAATAATAAGAATTATCTTTGCATCTATTTTCAATAATAAACATCCGGAATCGAAAATAACAAAATCTTTCTTGCATTCGTTTACTGCATGTTTAAGTTTGAAGTAATCTTTTCCAAACATGTATCCCTCAAGACCTCCTGCTAATAGATTATGCTCTGACCTCTCAAACGATTTACAGAATCCTTAGGAGGATCCATTGTGATAGTAAAACCCACTTTTTTGGTAAGGGGATGATAACTTCTCAAGGTTTATTTTCCGCTAGTTACATGATTAGTTGAATTGCTTGCTTTTCTTTACAATTCAAAAATGGCGTTTCACAATTGTCAGATAATTCTTTACCAAGTCAACTGTTCTGCTCGAACGATGAATAGTCCGAATACTTTTATTCCGAACGTTTTTCAAATTATTGGTCTAAACTAAACACTTTAAAATATTCTAAGTTTTCATGAAGACGCACAAAATCATTTCAAATCATAATTGTTTTAAATATTGAGTCAAAAATAGTTTAAAAGTTTACATTTAGGTAAAGACAAGTTCACATTCATTCTCACATCAAATTTAACATTCATTACACTCAATTAGTTTCATTCAAACACAAACCATTCAAACAAAAGGGATCACAGAAATTGTACAACTCTTGATCTCATTAGGTGAGAATATTTATATTCTTTCACACCGTCATTTACATGTAAACTAATCATTCTAGACAACATTCATGCACATTCATACATTATCACAACACACAGAAGATTTGTAAAATAATTGTAAAAAGTCAAGGGTGAGCAAGGACATTCAAATCTGTAAAGTCATGTTGATTAAAACTTAATGTTTCTAGGCACTTTCATTTGTCAAACGATCATTCATATCATACACTCATTCAAGAACATTTTGTACAATCAAGCAATCTCACAAGATCTTAAAATCACAATCAATCTCATTCACACTCATCCACACATATTTCTGTTGAACATTAAAACCCTTGACGGGTTTTATTTGTTATCATATCAACGTCAAGAAGTGAATAAAATTTTGTAACGTGTTAAAGAAAATTGGCTGCGATAAGTTTTTTCTTCAGTCCACTCAGCTCATACATTTAAGTTGTTCATTCCTCGAACATCAACCATATATTGAATCTCATCAGAATCTTTCATTGAAACTGATGAAGAAAAATTAAAAAATTATAAATTAAAATGTATCTAAATGTAATTTAATAAATGATAAATCGCCTTCATCATTAGCATCGACAACAGCAGCACCCTGTTCGTTTGGTTCAGGTTGCTTTTGTTTTCCTGAACACCAAGAAAACTTGCATGTCGATTAAATACGCTTATGATACCCTTCTCATTTACATCAAATTTCTTGATTATTCTTCAAATAAAAATTACAGAAATGATCTCCAAATTCATTGATAACCTTTTTGTAAAGATTTTGAGTTTTAAATAATTTTTCTTGTTGTTCTTAGGTGATGCTCCAACTTGGTTCTGATGTTGGCTTTGGGTGGCTGAATGGAAAGAAGTCAACGATTCGCAATGGTTGAGATTATGCAGATTCATAATTCATAATTTAAGATTTATCAGGTAAGGACTTCCAAGAAAAAACGAAATCTTTCATTGAAGTTATCGATGAATTTGATTTCATTTAGTGTAATTGTTTTATAAGTACCATTTCTTAAGATCCAGAAGAAGATTTTCTTGTGAGAATATTTTAAGGCTGAATTTTAGTCGGAACTAATTTTGTATCCATTGTGACGATAATATTTCGGTTTACGCGGTCAATTCCCAGCGGGGAACGCTCACGTATTCGCAAGTCAGCGACCGGAACAGAAGAGTGTCTATCTCTGTATATTTGTACGCAAATGAAACAATTTACTTTCACCTGAGTTCAAAAAAAAGGAAAAAAGACAAATAAACAAAAAATTATGTATATATTTAGGTACCTACATATATAAGTATTTAAATTTTAATTACTGACCTTTATTTCTGTCGAATTTCTATGTCTGATCTCATTTTCATTTGTTTGCACAATGATATGACTCGTGTCCCGAGTCTGACCAAATTCCCCACAGTACCGATAGAAGTAGATTGCAGTACCGAATTTTAAATTCTTTTAACATATTTTAAATTACACAAATGACCTCTAAATTCATCGATAACCTTTTTGTAAATATTTTGAGTTTTAAATAATATTTTTTGTTGTCCTTAGGTGATGCTCCAATTTGGTTCTGATGATGCTTTGGATGGTTGAATGGAAAGACGTTAACGAATCGCAATATTTGAGATTATGAATGTTCAAATTTCTTCATTTAAGATTTATCAGGTAAGGACTTCCAAGAAAAAACGAAATCTTTCATTGAAGTTATCGATGAATTTGATTTCATTTTGTGTAATTGTTCGTAAGTCCCATTCTGTGAGATTTTTTGCATCGATTCTTGTTGTTTTTTCAATCGTCGCTCGCATACATTGGACTCATTTTATGGCGAAGCACACTTGAAAGACGTTACGGAATGCGACAACGCCTTGTAACGGAGGATGATTACTATAATAACAATGACGTCAGATATTTTGGTCTTTAAATGCATCAGCAAATGATTCTGTAGTGCCATGCTTTATTCCTAATAAATCTTTCTTCGCTACATTCCAAACTAGCAAGAAAATTTAAATTTATTGTACAAATTGTGAAAACCCCGCGATTCCTCGTCTTCGTTCGTGTCTGCGACTGTGATAAAAAATAAATAATCTAAAGCTGATAAAAACAATGATAAAGAAACAAGATCGAGATTCGACGAAATTCTCTCGCTTTAAAGAAATGTGAAGAATAAGAAAATCATTTTAAATAAAGTTGTTAGAAATTACAGAAAATTTTCTTATTTTTCCAGTTGTTAATATTGCACAAATGATTTCTAAATTCATCGATAACTTTTTTGTAAATATTTTGAGCTTTAAATAATTTTTCTTGTTGTCCTTAGGTGATGCTCCAATTTGATTCTGATGTTGGCTTTGGATAGCTGAATGGAAAGACGTTAACGATTCGCAATATTTGAGATTATGCAGATTCAACTTTATCATTGAAGATTTATCAGGTAAGGACTTCCAAGAAAAAACGAAATCTTTCATTGAAGTTATCGATGAATTTGATTTCATTTTGTGTAATTTTCCCTTAAAGTCTCATTTCTTAAGATTTATAAGAAGATTTTCGTATGAATATATTTTAAGTCTGAATTCACTCGCTTTTTGAATTATTTAAAATTTCTCTTGAAAAGAAAATTCTCGCTTTCTTTCGTCAGCTTGTTCTTGATTTTTTCCTCAATCTTCTGAGCTATCGCTGTCGTTCTATTATCTGACTCTTAAGTAATGTCCCTTTTTCTGGCAACAGTAGCATGTGACATCATCACCGCTTCGTCCCCGACTGGACCCTCCAAACTTTTTGCCTCGTTGTCGAGTTCGTGCTCTTCAACAACTTCTACCTCATCTTTTTCTTGTGTTACTTTTTCCTCTCAATTTTTTAACGTCACTTTCATGCACCAGATCTTCGTCTTCAACATTCATTTGTCTATCAAGCTGGGTTGCCATTCATGACTTCCCAATGGCCATTGCCAGTCTTCTTAATCTTCATTACGAAATTATTCTTTGGAGTGTCGTTGGTTACATGTTTTGGAACATTCGCGTTAGTCCTTCCTGCTGGTTTGTTCAAGAATTTCTTGGTGTCCATTTAACCATTGAACGATCCAAAAGTGTCAATCTTTTGTCTTTCAACAGCTAGTTTGGATGATTTTCCATGTTTTGGTTCTCTTCACTAGCATTCCGTATTGGGGAATTATAAGTGGAGATGGAAATGATATTATTAGAAGGGATTCCATTAGGCTTTTCAAATGCATGGTCAGGTAATTTAGTATTGTTAATCGGTGGTGAAATCGCTTCTTTCGTTGCTATTCCTTTAGATTTGGAATAAGCGTTATGAGTTTTTCTTGGTTCAATTGGTGGAATAATTTGAGAGCTTTCGTTGGCTTTGTTATCGGCTAGAGAAACGAACATTGGATCAGAGACTTGAATTATTCCATCATCCATTAATGATGGAGGAAGATGGCGATTCTCAATATGCTTAGCCAATGCCTGGGGCTTTATCATCGCTCCACAGTATCTGCAACATGACTGAACTTTGCATTGCTAGAACAACTTTGTGTGCTTTAAAATTTCTGTGTCAGTCCAAAGAACATTGGCTAAAACCATTTTATGTACAATAGAATAGGGCAGTTTTTTTAGGCTTTTTTCAGACTGTTGACTTTATTAATTTCTCGACTAGTTTCGATCCCAATATTGGATCATCATCAGGATTCTAGAAATATAGTTGTACGGATTTTCATCTAAAATTTAATAACAATATTTTCGTCATAACCTTGTGAGTTAACGGACAGTAATTCACAGTGTAATAATAATTCCAATCCAATTTCTGCATTTATTTTGTCGATCTCGGAGTCGTCGACGATCAGCTTCAGGGCGACTTTTGAAAGTGGAGATTGGTTTTTAACAAAAGTTTTAGCGTCTGAAATAGTTGCACCTGTCTTGGATCTATTTCTAGCAGCACGCTTAAGGCCTCCACCAATTCCATCGGCAGCGCCTTTGCCATGCTGTGCAGCGAGATAATGCCATACAATCTTCTTATTATGTTTCTTCTCTAATGCTGGAAGTACAGCCATGGTGTACTTATTTTTGAACTGGCCTGGGGCATTATCTGAGAAGATATGGACGGTTGTGGCTGTTGTGGGGATCTCTTCACTGAACAATTTGTCGAGGCAAGGAATAACCGTCTTCTTTGTGTGGTCTTGAGAATCAAGAGCGACAGCCATTGATTTCTCTCCACGATGCCACATCATGGCAGTGAAAATTGAAACTCGATGTTTTTTTCGCTCCCAATAAGCAGCATAAATTTCATCTTGTTGCAAGCACTGGTAGCTTTGAGACCAATCAACATGAAGAACGGCTGTTGTTGCATCCTCAGATTTTGCTTGCTGGCGATATGACTCGAGGCACGCTGCCTGGTTTCGCTTAACAAGCACATGAAGTAAGAATTTGACCTTCATTTCTTTAATATGCTTGAGCAGGTCAGGTACAGTGCCGGTCTTCTTAACTCTTTCTGCGCGTTTAAAAGCTGTTCTATCAATCACCCATTGCTCCCATGTCACCGATTTTGAGGCATTGACTTCGTTTTGTTCGAACTTTTCGAAGAACGCTGGTTAATGCTCACATAAGCGACATTTGTTGGAAAAACATTTTTCCTTGTCGCCATCGCAAATAAAGTTACTGTGTAGTTATATCCAATAGCTACATCTTTGAATGTAGGATCGGCAAGAGCTAATGCTTTCAGTGCAAATCCCATATTTTCATGGATACTGCAAAGACATGTGCGGTGTGGAATTTGGCTTTTTAATTTAACAAAATGTGGTCTCAATTTTGCAAATTTTTTATGGTCGATTTTTTGGTCAGGGAAATCTACATTAAATTTATCATATGCTTCGTGTATAGTATACAGCATATAGCGAACGGATGTTCCATCTTTCAGCACAATATTAGTTGAAATTTGACTGATGTTATCGTTAATGTAGTAGTCCCTTACCAATTTTTCTACTTCCAAAGTCTCTCTTAGAAGTGAAAAAATTTCAAGTATGTAAAATTGCACAAATGATTTCTAAATTCATCGATAACCTTTTTGTAAAGATTTTGAGCTTTAAATAATTTTTCTTGTTGTCCTTAGGTGATGCTCCAATTTGGTTCTGAGGTTGGCTTTGGATAGCTGAATGGAAAGACGTTAACGATTCGCAATATTTGAGATTATGCAGATTCAACTTTATCATTGAAGATTTATCAGGTAAGGATTTCCAAGAAAAAACGAAATCTTTCATCAAAGTTATCGATGAATTTGCTTTCATTTTGTTCTTTTCTTCGGTAATTTTCAACATTTGATTTCCAAAGCTTTCAATTTGAACTTTCGAATCACAAATGGCGGAAGAATTAAATTTGATTTATTCTTCGAAGCGATTAATTTTCTCGTTTAACTCTTCAATTGCTTGTTGATTTTCGTTCAAAAGTTAGATGCTCCTTTCGAATTTTGCTCTAATCTCAATGCTTTCAGTCTTAACTACACGCGCTTCTTTGAGATTCTTGATAATGTTGTCTTTTTCTTGAATGATTCCTTCATGATATCAATTCATAATCAAATTGTTCCATATGGTCTATCAACCCTTCGGAATACCACAACGGGTAATTGTTCACAATTATCTGAAACTTTTCCACTCGCTCNTCTTAAGTATTGTAGTTGTACTGAAAGGTGAAAACTTGTTTCGAATTTTCACAAACAAATTTAAATCTACTAGATATTGTAATGGGCAGAGTTGAAGATTTATTTTGATGCAAATGAGGGGGAAATTCTTCTACTTTCTTCGAAATGTTCATGATAGGAACTGCGTTCACCTTTTAGGCATTTAGTGAGAAAAAATTGTTCGTTATGTCTCGTCAAAAACCGTTGGAGCAGCAGTACATATCAGTGAAGTATAAGAATTCCCTCCTAGTGCTGGTGAATGAATTCTTGTAAGTTTACATTCGCGAAAAGTAGCGCGATTCAAACTCGAATTCTTCTTCGCTAATTCCCTGATGATTTCCCGAAAACAAGAAGACTTTGATTGATGTGAAGACCATCGGTAAATGTCGTTGTTACTGATGCATCCGGTTTTACACTACCAGCCAAGTCCACTTAGAATAAATTCGAAGTCCATGCATCTTTCAACTTCTTGTTGCCTGGAGATGAGATTTGATCGTAATACGGAAAACTGTATGCGATCGACTTGAGTCCTCGTTGATTTTTTGAGTTGGTTCAACTTCAGAAGTGAAAAAATTTCAAGTATGTAAAATTACAAAAATGATCTCCAAATTCATCGATAACCTTTTTGTAAAGATTTTGAGTTTTAAATAATTTTTCTTGTTGTCCTTAGGTGATGCTTCAACTTGGCTCTGATGGTGGCTTTGGATGACTAAATGGAAAGAAGTTAACGAATCGCAATGGTTGAGATTATGCAGATTCAACTTTATCATTGAAGATTTATCAGGTAAGGACTTCCAAGAAAAAACGAAATCTTTCATCAAAGTTATCGATGAATTTGCTTTCATTTTGTTCTTTTCTTCGGTAATTTTCAACATTTGATTTCCAAAGCTTTCAATTTGAACTTTCGAATCACAAATGGCGGAAGAATTAAATTTGATTTCTTCTTCGAAGCGATTAATTTTCTCGTTTAACTCTTCAATTGCTTGTTGATTTTCGTTCAAAAGTTAGATGCTCCTTTCGAATTTTGCTCTAATCTCAATGCTTTCAGTCTTAACTACACGCGCTTCTTTGAGATTCTTGATAATGTTGTCTTTTTCTTGAATGATTCCTTCATGATATCAATTCATAATCAAATTGTTCCATATGGTCTATCAACCCTTCGGAATACCACAACGGGTAATTGTTCACAATTATCTGAAACTTTTCCACTCGCTCTGTAATTCGGTGAACTTTTCGTAGCTACTGCCTTTGTTGCTGTTCTTTTAATTAACTCTGGTTTTACATTCCTCAAATTCTTAAGTATTGTAGTTGTGCTGAAAGGTGAAATTTGTTTCGAATTTTCACAAACAAATTTAAATCTACTAGATATTGTAATGGGCAGAGTTGAAGATTTATTTTGATGCAAATGAGGGGGAAATTCTTCTACTTTCTTCGAAATGTTTATTACAGGAACTTTGTTCACTTTTTGGCTTTTAATGCGAAAGAAATTGTACGGTATGTCTCGTCAAAAACCGTTGGAGCAGCAGTACATATCAGTGAAGTATAAGAATTCCCTCCTAGTGCTGGTGAATGAATTCTTGTAAGTTTACATTTGCGAAAAGTAGCGCGATTCAAACTCGAATTCTTCTTCGCTAATTCCCTGATGATTTCCCGAAAACAAGAAGACTTTGATTGATGTGAAGACCATCGGTAAATGTCGTTGTTACTGATGCATCCGGTTTTTCACTACCAGCCAAGTCCACTTAGAATAAATTCGAAGTCCATGCATCTTTCAACTTCTTGTTGTCTGGTGATGAGATTTGATCGTAATACGGAAAACTGTATGCGATCGACTTGAGTCCTCGTTGATTTTTTGAGTTGGTTCAACTTCAGAAGTAAAAAAATTTCAAGTATGTAAAATTATAAAAATGATCTCCAAATTCATCGATAACTTTCTTGAATATTTTAAGCTTTAAATAATTTTTCTTGTTGTCCTTAGGTGATGCTCCAAATTGGTTCTGATGTTGGCTTTGGATGACTTCATGGAAAGAGGTTAAAGAATCGCAATGGATGAGATTATGCTGATTCAAAATTCATCATTGAAGATTTATCAGGTAAGGACTTCCAAGAAAAAAACGAAATCTTTCATCAAAGTTATCGATGAATTTGATTTCATTTTGTGTAATTGTTCGTAAGTCCCATTCTGTGAGATTTAGATGTAGTATTCAAAGTAATGATATAAAGTGGCGGACTTGATTGACCATAATTATTCTTAAAAGTACTAATTGTTTTTATTGTTGAATTGAAAGTAAAACGATGATAATAACTCGAGCGGCACAACTGCTCCACATGTATGCATGAGTTTTATCTTTTGTAAAACATCTTCCCCTTTAAGAAAAATTCAGCAGAACTTCTTTGACTAAGCAATATTCAAATTTCGCAATAAATCGCGTAAAGTGGCGTTTCACATTTGTCTGATAATTCTTTATCAATTCAACCATATATTGAATCTCATCATAATCTTTCATTGGAATGTGAACAAGAAGCAGAAAAGAATTAAAAAAAATCACATTTCTTCACTTCTGTCAAAAATGCTGTTGATTTCTTACCTTTTCAAAACATCAAAACATTCATTTTTAAACGCCTCACTGCAGTTGTGACGATCTGCCAACTGAAAGAATCTGTGAGCATTATCATCGTCAAGTTTCAGGAATAAATTAAATTCCAAAGCTGCTTTCAAATCATTAATCTGATATCATCACTTTTGTCAAGTTATCCCAAGTTGTATCCAGTTGTCCAGCAATATAACTTTTACGCTTTCTTTGATTTAGTTTGCTACGTATATAAAAAGCAGCTCATTCATTTTCAGTATTTTCTAATGAGAAATTTTTATGATTGATCGTACATTTTCTAATGTATGCACAATCTTATCCCATTTCCAACTATTTATAATTACAGAAATGACTTCTAAATTCATCGATAATCTTTTTGCAAAGATTTTGAGTTTAAAATAATTTTTCTTGTTGTCCTTAGGTGATGCTCCAACTTGGCTCTGATGGTAGTGTTGGATGACTAAATGGAAAGAAGTTAACGAATAGAAACGTCTGAGATTATGCAGATTCAAATTCATCATTGAAGCTGTTTAATGACGTTGAATTCATTTTACCAGGTAAGGACTTCCAAGAAAAGACGAAATCTTTCATCAAAGTTATCGATAAATTTGATTTCATTTTGTGTAATTTTTAATTTTAACATAAGTTGATTTAATTTCTTTTACGCATTCCCGCATGCATTTATCAAATTCATCGGCAGAGTAAACTTTTTACAAACTAAAGTTGCAGTCCTCAAGTCTTTTGTGCCCAAATATTCGAATATATTGAGCAGTAATTGTTCACATAACAAATCGATTATTTTTCCCCCCATTTCAAATAACATTAATATTAACAAGTTTAAAATTATACAAATCAAACATATAAATTTCAAGGCATCGTCGGTATCGTCGTCGAGAAGCTGGACAGATGTTCGGTCCGAGTTTGTGGATACGGGCTCCACAATGAATGCATGGCCCCATGCGGAGGTACTCGGCGCGATTTATGCCTTCGAATGTTTGCTGTTTATCTTATTAAATCTCTTAAGATGTTAACAACTTCTTCTTTTTGGATATCCAAAAATGTCATGCAAATTGCTTTGATTATTTTCATCTGCGATGAATGTTCGACACTTTCTTTTTCGAGCTGATTTAAAAGCATCATGCTTTTATTATAGTCTTTATCAAGGCATGAATTGAAAATGGATTCACGTAAAGCCTCAGTAACTTTCTTTTTGTGATTTGTTTGTGGTGCATATTTATGAGCTGAACTTTTAAATACGTCACCTCGAAATAACATTCTTCTGCGAGCAATTTCATATCTCTTTAGAAAATCTTCCGTTTTCTTACTCATTTTGAAAAATAATATTTGACAACAATTACACAAATGACTTCTAAATTCGTCGATAACATTTTTGTAAAGATTTTGAGTTTTAAATAATTTTTCTTGTTGTCCTTAGGTGATGCTCCAATTTGGTTCTGATGATGGCTTTGGATGGTTGAATGGAAAGACGTTAACGAATCGCAATATTTGAGATATATCAGATTCAACTTCATCATTGAAGATTTATCAGGTAAGGACTTCCAAGAAAAAACGAAATCTTTCATCAAAGTTATCGATGAATTTGATTTTATTTCGTGTAATTGTTTTATAAGTTTCATTCTCTCAAATTCAGAAGTAGTATTTAAAGTAATGATATAAAGTGGCGGACTTGATTGACCATAATTATTCTTAAAAGT